GAAAATAAAAAGGTGCTAGGAAGATCAACATGTATACCAACAGATAGAATGCCATCCCAAGGCAGGGCAGGTGCAGAATATGAAATGACTACTGCTTTACATGACAAAAAATAACCCAGGGATTCAGCTGCTGATCTTAGGCCACAGAAAGCAGCAACTCTGGATCTGAGTGCAGGCTATTTCAACCTTTGAATTAAATTGAAATGAAACAGGTGAATTGATTAAAGCTTGTGCTAATACCAGTTTTTACTCAGATTGTGAGTTAAAGATCAGCAGACAGCCTCCTCCATGGCTGCATCAAGTCAAAAGGCTGCACAGACAGGTAAGGAGGAAATGCAGCTGGCAGCAATACCATGAAGGCACAAGCCAAGAAAAGACAGAGCAAGTTTTATGAATAAATGAGGAGTTGCTCAGTTGTTGACAGGATGTAATAGCAAGCACAAACCACCCTTTGCTGATAGGGCACAGGTACCTGCAAGCAGCAGGTACAATCTCCTGGCAGCAACAACAATCAGATTCCATGGCCTGATGGATTGTGAGAACCAGCTGTCCAAATACACCCCTACTGCTTGCCACAAATACTGATGTAGCAGAATGAGAGGGAACCACTTAGAGAGCTAGAAGAGCACTCTTATAGAAGAATATTCTACTGAGTATTATGGGTTTTGTCCAGGAGGTTAGGGGAAAAAAAAAAGCAAGCCTGAGGAAACATTCCTGTGTCAGCCAAGCAGAACCTGCAGTGAAATATTAACTGAAAGCATGGATAACAGAGAATAAGATTTCCTCAAAGAAAGAATGAAAGAAAAATATGGTCAGGGTTGACACATATTTCCCTAGCCCTTAGAATGCTTGCTCTGAATCAAAGGGCAAAACCTTTGACTGTGTCCATGTGGCCACAAATTTTAAGGATGGCACAACACAGCTCTATCTTGCTGCCTTCCTAACTCAGAATGAAAAATGAAAGATCTAGGCAGGAAGAGCGCTACTGAGTAAAGGCAGTTTTTTGCACATTACAACTGAATATTAAAAGGAAAATTTGTAAAAACACAAGGCTAAAATTTTAATTTCTTCTCCCTGCTCTAAATACATAGCATCTGTAGGAAAGCAGTGTTTATAAGGATACACCTGGATTCACTTGACATGGCAGAAGGGAATCCCACATTTGAGTCAGTCTCTAAAATGCAACTCTGGAGTGTTGCTAATATACAGGGACTAGATCTTAAACTTGAAGAAAACAGCCTCATTCTCTAATATTTAAGGGATGGGGATGCACTCCTATCCTGTACCATTCTTTTCACTAATTATTCAGCTTAGTATTTCAAGGTGATTAAGCAGCAAAATCTTGCTTCTGACTCTGGTCTCTGTGACAACAATTTTGCTTTAGGCAATACAGCAAATCTGTTAGGAATGAACACACACTAAGTACACCCACAAGAATAGGAGTAGATGATCCATGATGATCCAGAATATTTGATGTGCTGTCATGACTTGCTCAGGAGTGGGGCCTTTGTGGAAGCACGAGGGACTGTCTTCAGGCAGGTTGCAGGAGTGAGGTACCCTACCAGCTCCCCAGGAGTTTGCAGTAGGGCAGGCAGCCAAACCAGCACAGCATGGCCCCAGCTTTATGTGCTGCTCAATTCTAGGCAACAGGGAAAAATAAACAGCCTGCAGCTACCCTGTGTGCAGGAGCAGGTGATGAACCCACAGACGCACAGCTCTACACATCAAGGTGGCATCTGCCTTCTTTCTTCCCTTCAGTGGCAGCTCCACACCCATGTCTTCCACTGCTAGCCAAGTGTGCAGCAGAGCCGGAGCCTTGAAGAATTCACCACCCATCACAAGGCACTGTTTGGCTCCTGTACAATCAATTCTAGCAATGGTGCTGGCCTGTCAGCTGGTGTTTCAGTGTCCCAGCCCCAGCCTGTGCTGCAGAAGGGTTTGCTGCTGAGGTGACAGGGCCAAAGTGGTACAGACCCCAGAGCGACTCCATTCTGCACTATTGGCACTGGCTCTTGGGGATTTGACATTGCCAGGCCTCTCTTGGATTTAATTTCCTACTGCTTTTCCTGCAGGCTGGTGGCAAAGCTCTCAGCCAACACTGACACCATGCCAGCTCCCACTGCAGGGACACTCCCAGGAGTTAGCACATGCAGAATATACACTTCTAGCATTGTCACAGATCCCCAGATCACTGGCCACAACAGCCTAAAGCACAATGTATTTGCTTCCTTAAACACCTCCTAATGCTGATGGATTCTATTCTTCACTAAGGAGTTCTCTATTGTTACCCCATGCCAACCCCTCAGCTTTATTTTCCTTCACCATCACCTCACAGCCTTTCTCCCCACTGTGGGTTTCTGATCAAAATTCCCCTCTCTAGCATCACACCAGGGATCACACAGCACTTGTCTTGCTAGGGTTGCATAGCTATAGGCTGCTACCAGAATAATTCCTGCAGTATGAAGGGATTTTTATGAGCTTGCTCCACTGATGGCTGCAAGCAAAATTGCTGTCAGCTGAGGATTACAAACCTGTAGAGAGCTGGCAGAGATCCAGGCCCTTTGTTCCCTCAGTACAGAGGGATCAAGCACACTCCATCTCCTGATGGCAGTGGTGACTCTTGTGCACTCAAGATAAAGCTGGTAAATCAGACAGCTGTCCCCTCCCCTGCCATGGGTAAATAAGACACAATGTTTTGGTGCTGCCAGCACAAATATGATGTTAATGCAAAGGCAGAGACTGCTCAGCCCTTTGTGGATGTCCAGGGTAAATGAGAGCAGCTGCTTGCCCCTGCTGCATGATGCTTTCCATTTCATCTCAGCTGCAGGACCCCAGCAGCCATCAAAGCCTGCAGTGTTCTGCATCAGTCCCTCCCCACAAAGGGAAACAAGCTTTATCCTCACCAGCCAGAAGTGCACATGGGGTCACTTTTCCTTTTTAAAAATCTTGCTTGCTGTGGATTACACATCACACTTACCTTGGCCTGTTAACAGCAACCTGGCTCTGCATTCAGCTCTGTGGAACAGACACACATGCAGCCTGAATTTGTACCAAACATAATCCCTTATTTGTGAATCTCTATTTTACCAGCTACAGTCCTGCCTCTTCCATCTCCTCATCTTTTGAAAGAAAGCACTCTGGGATGGGACAGACTTGTTTCTTCCACAAAAAGCCTAAGGGTAAATTTCAGCCTTAAGGAAACAAGGGATGTCTTTTTGACTGAGTATGAAATTTAAGTTTTTGTTGAAACAATCAGTGTGCTAAGATTTCCATCTCTGTTTCACTTGTTGGCTAGACCTCAGCCATCAGTAAGGCCTGTACTGATCTAATCAATTACAGCTCTCACATGTGCAAAAATACTCACTACTACCATTTCACAACTAGGCCATGCCAACGACTAACAGGTCTGTGACAAAATAGATAAGAACATAAATAGATAGGAACAATTCTGTTGTAAATATTAAAGGTTAATTAATTTTCTTTTGCTACATCATATGTAACCTTAAATCCCAAAGACTGAAAAACTTAATGTATAATTACCATATTTTTTTCTTAGACAATATGAAAACAGGAGTTTGAGATTTTAGGATGAAATATGTATTTTTAAATGAATAAACCTGCACAGTGATGCAAACAAGTGAAAATTGCCCTTATTACCTCTTCCAAAAGGCAAGTCAAATGAAATTCTGGATAGTTACCAGTTACAAAAGCCCTGCTCTGAACTGACAGAAAGAAGTGCTGAGCAGCATTAGCCTGCAGGAGTGATACATAGCCCTCTTGACCAAAAATCCCACAGGGCCCCCGTGTAAAAGCCCCTCCATGGCTAAAGCCATGCCCCAGAAGCTGCAAAGGCAATGCCTCTGCATCCCCTGCTGCAGCAGTAAAGACCCGAGGCACATTCCTTCAGCAGCAGTCATCCTGACTTTATTACACTCTGACATCACAGTTTACTATCACAAGGTCAATAGCTCTGGCACACCAAACAATTACAATTTGCATTATGTACACACTACTATGTCTATTTTCATCACAAACAGTTTAAACAAGCCAAAAAGAGTTGGACAGCCTTCATATTAAGTTTGTCAAGACATTCTTTCTGGGCAATTCACAGGGAGTCAGACACCTTAATAAAGAAGGCCACATGAGAAGACCCAAATATCATTTCCAGTGAATGAGATGAGCATCAATGAAGAATTTGTCATATTCAGACATCTCCCCTTACATCCTTTCATGCACAAACTTTGTTCATGCACCTCAAAAGTTATAGAGAGAAGCCTAAGCAGTAGCAGACTATATTAACTTTGATTTCTACAGTATTTGTAGGTGTTTTGGGCCATACTTTATTTTTCCTCCCACCCCCACCTCCTTCAAGTGTTTAAATTATCTATTGCACCCATATACAAGCCCTCATATTAGGAAGATTAGAAGCTATGAACTCATTCAGCAAATTTCCTTGTTCAGAGATCGTCCTCAAGCCATTAAACAGAAACAACATATTAAGCATAGAAGTAATGTCCTTCCTGACAGGCCCAGCAGCAGATCTGATACAATGATCTGAAAGGACTATCTGGAAACCTACACATCTTGGCTGCAAATTGGGCAGAGCTATGATTCTACTCATGTGACTTTTGCAAGATATCAGTGGAAGGAAGAAACTAAACTGCATTTTCACCTGCTCTGGGTGAATTTACTTTCCATTTTTCAGAGAAGACTTGGCAGAGCTAAACATGATGCAGTAATAACCCAGACAGAGTTCCTTCTCAGCCATGCCCCCTATAAGGCTAATTTAAGAACCAGAAAGGGTCAGCATCCAGATAACCTCTTCATTTCACTCTTCAAAAACTGTAATATTATGCTGCATAGCCTTGAAAGACACAACATATTTCATGATAATTAAACACTTCAGTTGGAGTACCCAAGACCTTACATCAAACCATAGTACAAAACAGAAGTTTGTATGAATTATCAGTCATTACTGAATCCTAATGGCTCCATGCTCTTGATAGTGTGATGTGAAAGTGGAAGCACTTCAAAATATCAAGTTGTTTTTATACCCTTTCAGTTGGACTTTCAGAAATCCTGTTCCATTGGCTGTGTAAGTTGGTGTCCTTGTATACAAGCCAAACATTTCCTGCCCATAAAACCGTATTAACCAAGCCAAACACCTGTAGGTAAAGAAAGAAAAAGGGGGGACAAGAAATGCAGCATTAAATTTGTTGTGTTTTATTGGGTTTTGTTTTTCTTTTTATTAAAACAAGCCAGACCAGTAACAAGTACTATCTTTAGCACTCCTTTCATTTGGACAAGAAATTTCCAATCTCTACAGAGTAATATAAGCTATTTTAGCCATTTAACAGAGCTCTTTGTAGACCAGATAGTTAAATTTACTCTATACTTTGCACAGTTAGACGAATTCTTTTCAGCCACTGAGCACCCCCACATATGCACTCTCATACCAAATGACTGATTATTATTAGGCCAATGAATAACAGCCTGAGTTTAGAAAAGTGGGATTCACTAGGCAGATCATACAATAAGCCTAATTTGCTCTGATATCAAGCATTCTTTGTACGAACATGAGCTTCATACCATTATGATACAAGGAACCTCAATTTGATGTGTAAAAATGCTCACAGAGTAAAAAGCTAGGTTCAGCACCAGCACAGCATTTCCTCTTTACTTACATCAGTCATCAAACCACTTGGGTGGCTCAGTAAGATATTTTAAGTTGCTCCTGGCTAAAAGCATAAATAGACACTCAAATATGTCTAGAAATGCTGCATGTAACAGCTCTAGAGGCAGATCCTGCAAGATGTTTCTCTTAATTTCCTTTAGAAAAAAACTTGTTTCCTCCAAGAAATTATTTGCTCAGTGTTTTACCACAGTATTAATGGACCTGAATGACAAATAAACCATAAAGAAATCTTAACACAGCAACACATGCAATCAGTAGAACAGCACTCTCAGGTACCATTTGTTGCTTCCCAACACATTTATTGTACCCATTAGGTGGAAGGCATACATACCACAGACACATTCAGGATTCCCATGCTGGTCACAGAAAGAAAATGGCAAGTTGTTCCTGGTGCTTTGCAGGACTCAATTCCTGGAACAATGCTGGCTCCTGTGGACACCTTGATGTCAGCAAGCGCCTTTGCCCAAACAAAAGTACTGACCAGCCACAGAAAGGCTATCACAACACTGATTGCCAAGTCCTACACAAGAGAAATACTCATTAATAGGTTTTAAAAAATGCAGGAATATATAGATGAGAGCAAAGCAGAGGCAGTATCAGTTATATGACCAAGATAACTGCATCAGTGCTAACAATCACTAGGAAATTTAGTCATTAACAATGTTATAGTTACAACTCAGTGCTGATAACCAGCTACAAAACTTTATGCTTGAGCTTGAGAGATGCAAAAGACAACGTTAACCTAAGAAATCTCTTTCTAAAATCTGATGTCTAGCACGTATTTTATGAGAACTTAAACCAAAGTTAAGTAAAGTGAGGGTTATGGGATAAGAGCAGAGGATTTAAATCTGGATGGCTGATAGTGACTTTTCAAACCAGATTTTAGCCTAAGTCCATTTTCAAGCATGTTATGAAATTTCTCATTCAGAGCTTCAGTATTGAAGGTGTCTAAAACTCACAATGCAACTATTTTCCTCTGCCAATTGCAGCAGTGCTCTATACAAAGAAATTTCACATTAACAGAGGAGGTCCCACCTATGGAACAATTGTATACTCAATTGCATGATACAAAAGAAAAGTTGTGGTGAAGATACTGTTCCCCTGAAAAAATGAAAGTTCATTCCACTGCTTCAATAACTGCATAAGGTGTGGTGACATGGATGCCCAAGGGCTTTGGGCCCCTTTTCTGCTCGAGCGCTGTAGGGACCAGTCTGAGATACAAAAGTTAAATGGAGTGTGAATAAAAGTAACTACTGGATATTCACCAATTATTCTTGCATTAGCAATATTTCTCATCTTTCTGCAGCTTCAAAGTCAAAGCATTAAAATATCTCAGTATTACTTACAGTTAGTGGAAACTTGTTATTTTGCTGATACACACGGTTATACCCAATATATACCGCAAGGGCAGTAATAGAGTAGAGGAACACCAATGCTGCCAGTGTAACAAAGAAGTGTGCAGGAGAGGAGAAGTCACCCATGAGGTAGACATCAGTCCAAGTACCACCACAGCCTTTTGGGTCTGGTGCACTAAATACAACAGTATTCAACCTGTGAAGATTATATCCATGTAGTCAGAGTTTGCTATACTGTGGGAGTTTCATTATTTATACTTCATTATTATTATACTCCATGCTTCACAGCAACAGAGCTTCAGCATTCTGATTGTATAAGTTGACTCTGAAAGATACACTATAGATATCTAAGTAATCAGTTATGCAACAGAGAGGTTTGTCAAGCTCTCTGAAGATTGTATTCAATCCTACACGAAGATATACAATAGTACCTTCAGGAGAAGAACCCTAATTGCGTTTTTAGAGCAGTTGAACAAAAAATTCTCCATTTGGAAGCAGACAGCAACATTACTTGAGAGACTTGCAGTTAAACAAGGTGATAAGGACTTAAAAGGCATTATGGCTACAAAAAACACAAGCACTGAAGCTGAGTAAATAAAGCTGTGTGACTACCATTGACCACTCTGTGACCAGCACAGAATTATTTCAGATCCCCACTCTCCCCTCCAAATGCTATCACAATGCTGGTCTTTGTGACTAAATTCTCTGCTGTTGTAGTGTTTTTTACTGGCTGTCCATTGAATCAATTTCTATATCAATTTATGTTATCACACTTATTGAACACATATGGAACACCAACCACTCTGCACTCTTCATAGTTGTGCAGCTGCAAGAGCAAAGAGGAATCCCTCTTCCTCCTGCTCCAGGAAAGGAGCTTGTCTCTACAAGAACACTGCAATGACACTGAAGTATTTAGGTTTTTTGTGCCCAACATCCTCACCAAGATAATGTTGGAATAAACTGAAAAGAATTTTCCATTCAGTCTCTGAACAAAAATAAGATAATGGCACATTCAAAATAATCTTATCTGGACCTCCAAAGCAGCTACAAATTGATGGAGAATTAGGCTGTCAAAATGGATTGAGGTTTTTTTTCTTACTAATTACTTTCTGTAGCATTCATACACTGCTAGACTAGAGCTTAAGATAGAGTAATACAGAACATAATAGCCTACGGCCATTTCTAACTACTTCTGTCTATAAGGCACTAACAAAATACAGTGCCTTGAATGATTACAACTAAATATTTTGTTGCTGCTACAGAGCAAGCCAGAAGTTTCACATCTTCACTTAGACAGAAAGCATATGATCATAAGGAGGCAGATAGGGAAAAGAGGAATAAAAAGTAATTATCCAGTAATAACTGAAGAGCTAATGCTCACCTGAATGGATAAGCAAAAGCAGCTGTAACTGTTTTGTTTACCACACCTTCACAGGAAACTAGAAGAGCAGTTTCACCTTGAAAGCCCCCACACGTGGCAAAAGCAAAGATGGCAAGAACCTGTAGGAATTGATACAGAGACACATTAGTTCACACCACTAGTGCTCAAAGGAAGCAAACTCAACATCTAGCTGAAATAGCTAAAGACAAGAAATAGCAACAAAGTTAGCAAAGCTGAAGTGATGTCAAGAAGAAAATGCCAAGTTCCTAAAATCCAGAAGTGTAAGCAACACTGCTAACCAAAGCCCATTTAAAAAGTGCTTTCTGTATATCTTATTTTCAGTTGCACAGAAATTTTTTTTTGATTTGTATTTTGCTGGGTTTTTTGTATGCTAACAGCCAGCATAGTATTTCTTGCAGGTGATACAGGAAATATTTTTACAAGTCTTGCATATCCACAACTATGAATTCAGAGCAAGTACATGTTCAGAGTATCACACATCAACTTGACTCTCTAAATAGCTCTTATGCTTCCTTTTTTCACTATCCAGACCTTAAATCTCCAATCATCAGAACACAAAACACAGAGCAGCAAAAGCTGCTGTAACACACTTGTAATTAACACACCAAGTTTACGTATCTGCACTCCAAGGGTGAGGCTGAGGGGCAGCCCAGTGCTGGACCCCAGCAGCAGCAACCTGGGGCAGGGTCTGCCAGCCCAGGGGCTCACACCTCCCCAGGGGTACCCAGCCCAGGGGCAGCAAAGGAAACAACCCCCCCAGCTCCACTCACCCATTCAAGGACCTTAACAAAGCCCAGAGGCTCCAGGAGTGTGCTGAAGTCCATCCTCAAGCCCACCACCATGGGAGAGACCAAGGCAGCCAGCAGGAACCAGCACCAGCCAGCTGCTGCAGCATCCCGGGCAGCTCCTATAAGGGCAGCCCCTGCCCCACCCCTCACCTGGAGGTGGGCATGGACCCACCCACACTCACCAGCTGGGGCTCCTCAGCCCCAGCCTTGGCTGGGGACATGTTGGCTGTCACAAGGGGGAACAGCACTGGCCATTTTGTGCCATGAGGCAGTGTCACCCTTGTTCCAAGAATGACACAAGAACAGGTGAGGGACCCAAAGCAAGAGGAGAAAAGAAGGGTTTATTACAAGAACAGGAAAACAAAGTGGAAAAACACCACCTGCAGATTGTTTATACAAGCAAGTTATCACGTTCTTACAACTCCCTAAAAATTCTCACAAGCCACTGTGAAAAACAATTGCAGTTTTTCTCTCCCTGACTGCCTGGCATCCACAAGGCAGCAGTGACTTCTTCTTCTTCCTCTCTCCCGCCCAGCACACTTTAGACAGTCCTATGTGCTGTACCTTGAGCTTGATGATTTGATGGCAAACGAGGCACAGGCACCTGACAGTCTATGTGCTTGCCAAAATCTCATTGACTGCCTTTGACTATTTAAGCTTTAATTGTTTTCTGTGACTGCACTTTGTTGCTGCTATGTTAATCATCAGTAAAAGTGAAGAGCTAAAACTCATGGTGAAGAAGGTTTGAGGACTCTCAGAGGGGCTGCCCTCTGCCCTGGCCAGACCATGGATAGCCAAGGTGGCCATGGGCACAGCACTCACTGCCAGTTTCCTGGCTCTCATTCAAGATTCTGTAAGAATTTCTTCTGGGATTGGTGGGGGCCTTTGAGGAACATCAGGGTGTCTGATGCTGCTCTTGGGAAGGGGTGGCTGTGGGAGGCTGTGGCTGCTTCTAGCAGGATCCAGCGGATCTGGCAGTTTATAGCAAGAGCTGCAAGCAGACCCTGGCCAAAGGCCCAGGTCCCGGCTGAGTGCCATTATTGCTGCCAGGCAGCCTTGAAGGAGGTGCTGAGGAGATGCCAGCGGACGAGTCCAGGTCCTGGGTGTAGCTAGAGGCTGCAGCATGCCAGGCAGCCTTGAAGGAGGTGCTGAGGAGATGCCAGCGGACGAGCTGGCCTTGAGTCCAGCTCCTGGGTGTAGCTAGAGGCTGCAGCAGCTTGTGCCAAGGGGGGCCTGCAGCCTCCCCAGGGCAGCAGATGTGCTCAGCTGTGGTGGTGGTAGTGGTGTGCTGAGGGTCTCAGTCCCAGCACTGCTGGGATCAGCTCTCCCTTGGCTCAGATGGAGCTGCTGAGGGGCTGCAGCTCTCCAGTCCTGGGGCTGACAAGCCTTGGGGCTCTATGGACCTGAGACCAGCAGGTAAGGAAGGACTGCTCAGGGCTGTGGAGGCTGGGGACTTGGCTGAGTCTGCTGTGTAACAGATGTCCTTGCTGTGAATAAGTCATGGGAGGCCAGCCAAGGGTGGGAATACAGGAGGAAGCTTCCAGGCTGGGGACTACCTGTGAGAATGGTAACAAAGGCAGTGCTCAGCTGGCCTGGGGCTGTGCTGCTGCTGCACCCTGAGTGGCTGCATCTGCCATTCTCACGCAATTCAAGGAGAATTTTTCTGTGCAATGACCAAGAGAGGTGCTGACATCTGCCTGCTGCTGCAGATCCTGGAGGGAGTACAAGCTAAAGCTGTGAAAATGATGGCTCTTTCCTTTCTTTTGCTGCTTTGTTAAATAGCACATAAATCTCACAGAAAATCCACCATGATCCAGACAAGTATGCTGAGGGTTCAAGCCACCCTGGTTAGCTTCACTGCCTGCATAGCTAGTGCCTTTAAGGAGTAAAATAGGAGTGTAAAACCAGGGACAGACCAAGATGAAATGTCTATTTGCTCATCTTCTTGACTCCATGCCAAATAAAATCTGTTCCATATATGTGGCATATGCAATCTTAGTTCAGCCTAAATGAACCAAGTAACTCTTTGTCCTCTCATCCAGTGTGCCTCTGTAATTTTTTGTCTTCCTTCTTCTGCATTTTCTACTTCAATCCTATAAGCAATGTATCTCCCTAAAAATACATATAGACATTGGTTTGATTACTCTGCTTTTCCACTTGTCAGTTAATTAAAACCACTTTATTGTTTAAAGCATTTTTCAAAAAGACTCTTAGCCCTGATTTCTATGCTTTTTCTTCCTCAAGCCTTGTCAGATGTCGAGTATGGATGTACTCTGAACTATATACAATGTTCTAGCTGTGGGCTTGTTAATTCAACATTGGAAAAGGCTCTTAATTTTTCACTTCATAGAACTTATCTTTTCCCTGAGTTTAAAAATATTTTGGAACATTTCTGCTTGTGGATTTTATTCCAAAGTGATACCAAACATTTTAAATGCAGGTGGCTCTTCTGAATGGCTAATTTCATAACCTGAAAGCAATTCTGGATCAAGTCTCTGCAAGGGAAGATTTAGGCAGAAAGACTCTATATTTGTAAGGAGCATTGAAAAAGTTCACTAAAAAAAAAAAAAAAAAAAAAAAAAAAGGTTATTTTGATTGCAAAATCAGCTTGGCTTAGAGAAAAAGTGACCAAAGTATAAAAAACTACAGGAAAAAAAATATTAAGAAGGAACAGCCAGTATTGCATTCTGTATTTGGGAAAAAGCAGGACAGAATTAATATGCTAATCATGTAATAAATCCTTTCCACTCTGGCAGGGCTCAGGGGAGTGCTGAGTCACATCTGCTAAAGCTTCCATATCAGCTGTCAATACCCAGCAACCCCAGTTTGGACAGGGCTGATAAAGGAGCTCTGTTAATATGGACAATGCCTGACGGTCAGATCTGAAACGCTGAGATCCAGATCTGACTGCTGTGGCAGTACAGGCCCATCCATTTATCTCTGTTCCTAAGAAAAGAGGTGGGGGGACTGATGCAGAACCCTCTTGACAGGGAATTAAATTAGAACAATGCGGTTAATGTCAAGCTGCACGGTTGTTTGGGAGTCAGTTTTTGCTGATTAGCCGATGCTTAAGCTGATCCAAAGACTGGGCTGATAGATAATATTTGACACTGTAGCGTAGTTTCAGGTTCTGTGAGGTGTTTGGCCTGTTATTTGATGACTCTAGAAGGATATAAAACTCATGTAATCACTGATTTAATTAGAAAACAGGTACCTTACTGTGCTTTAACTGAAAATCAATATTATTAGTGAAAAAAAAAATTTTTCTCAGAATACTGAGTCCCATCCCTTGGAGGTTAAAAAAAGGACAAAACCTGTGGCATCTACATATCTGGTCTCATGGTGTCTGACAAAGCTGTGAGAGAGACCAGTGGGATTCCTGGCTGTCCCAGAGGTGTGTGTGCAACAGAGGCAGCAGAGTGAGGAGACAGGAACTTCCCCTGGAGCATCGTGTAGCAGCTTCCTTTACTAATGCCTGTGGAAGATAATTCAAACTACCTGGATGATTAAGAGTCACAGAAAGCTCATTTTCTAAGAGTGAAAGAGCTTGGGTGGCTTTGCAAAATGCAGGGTAACTAACAGGTATTACTGCTGGCTTACGAGGGAGTGCACGCAGGGAAGGCAGAGATTTATACTGAGACAGTTTTATCAAAAGGATCCTGCATGTAATCGAAGCATATAATTTATATTGAACATAAAGTGTGAAATTCTGAAAATATCTTCCAACAGAAGACAAACACTGGAAGTTGTTTTATAGGGAATTCAGAATATTTGCAATATTGTTGTTTGTGATAGCAGTGGAAAACTGGTTCATGGTGTTCTTTGCCCATCCAATCCCCTATGCAGTCCAAACAGGGATTAATTCAGGGAAGTCCTGAGCTTTGTGTTTGCAGATAAAGCAAAAGTGGGTGATTAAGTGAATACTTATCTGTCAGGGGAGGAACCATTGCCCAGGACTGCTCTGTCCCCAGCACTTGTCCCCATCACTGTCTACTCAGCAGGGCTGGAAACACCAGGTGAGGAAAGTGCTTTTCTTTCTCCCATAGTAAATAAAGCTTATTTGCCACATAACTGTCTGCAAATAGCTCCTTGTCATGTAATGATCTGCATTTTGTTAGTTATCTGCATGTTTTCAAGTATCTGCATAATTCTATTTCCTTGTACACTCTGACGCTTTAAATCTTTCCTCTTCAGACCTGTAAATATATTTATTTTTCAGTTTATTTCCTGCTGGCTCTCTAATAACAACATTAAGTTAGATTGTTCCTTTTTTTCTGACTTCTGTAGCACACCTCTGCCTTTACTCCAAAACTTTGGAAATCACTGTTTAATGTGTGTTTGATCTTTGCTGAAAGTCCTTGAGACATATTCCACCACATGTGCCAGTCATCTTTTACATCCAACCAGGTTTTAAGTTCTGTGGCTAATACAAGTTAGTTTTTACAAGATATTGTACCATTGAAAACATCTAGTTATTTTACACTGCCTCTCTTTCATTTACTCATATCAGCTTAGCTATTTCTGAGCTATTGCTGGTATCCTTGCTGCCTTGAATTTAAATTTTCTACTACTGCACGTGGAAAAATGCTCATTATTCTCCTTGATACCTGTAGAAGAGCAGGGGGTCGTGTCCCCTACCCCCCACATTTCTGTGCCCATTTCCAAAGGGCAAGAAGGCACACAGCCCTGCCCAGAGCGGCGGTGGCTCACCTGGGAGACGATTTGAGCAAAAGTTTCTTACAGCTGCCCTTGCCTCCCCGGCAGTGCGATTCACACACGGGATCACAGCTTACAGACGAATCCTGCGGTTAATTTCCATAGTTTATCCCCGGTGGGTGTTGGTTGGGGGCCATGGGACCTGCCCTGGGCAGTGTGCTGCTGCGTGCCTGGCTCTCCGAGCGCTCCTTGGAAAACCATCGCTGGAGAGAGACTTCTGGAAGATATCAATTAGCTGTAAAGGACAAAGAATATGGTGTGTGCAGCTGGAATAAAAACTCTAAGTTGTACTGTAGAGCTGTGAATCCTCAGGCAGGATTGACCGGGCTGTTTTTTGG